GCCGGCCCCGTGGCTTAGCGGTTAAGTGCGTGCGCTCCGCTGCTAGCGGCCCGGGTTCGGATCCAGGGCGCGCACCGCTTCTCCAGCCATGCCGAGGCCGCGTCCCACATACAGCAACTAGAAGGATGTGCAGCTATGACATACAACTATCTACTGGGGCTTTGGGGGGAAAAAAATAAACAAATAAAAATCTTAAAAAAAATAAATAAATAAATAAAAATAAATGATTGCAGTCATGGATGAATCATGAAGATGCCCTCCAGTTTGGAGGTTTTAAGAAAGAGAACAGATGAGCTCTTTCATTCATTATAACAGCAGCCAATTAAGGTCAATAATAATTTGGAATGCAAGATGCTTGGAAAATCTGCATCACATATTTAAATGTGATCATACGCATAAAGCATGTAACCCAGTGGGTATGTATTTGTTTCCTAGGGCTGCCATAACAAAATGCCACAAACCGGGTGGCTTAAACAACAGAAATTTATTTCCTCACAATTCTAGAGGCCATAAGTCTTAGATCAAGGAGTTGGCAGAACTTGTTTCTTCTGAGGCCTCTTTCCTTGGCTTGTAGATGGCTGTGTTCTCCCTGTGTCTTCACCCGGTCTTTTCCTCTGTGTGTGTTTGTGTCCTAATCTCCTGTTCTTCTAAGGACACCACTCAGATTGGATTAGGGTCCACCCCAGTGACCTCATTTAACATTAAGTACCTCTTTAAAGACCCTTTCTCCAAATACAGCCACCTTTTGAGGTATTAGGGTTAGGACTTCAACACATAGATTTGTGGGGGCACAGTTCAGTCCATAACAGAGTGATACTCGGTAGTTGTGTTATTTTTATTATATCAGGCGCTGTAGGTTTGAGTTGAGAGGTATGGCTTAAAGGCCCTTTTGTTCAAGTGTTTTTCCTCAATCGACCTGCCACAATCCTGTCAGTAGTAATTTATTCTCTTAGAGCTTTCCTCTCTCTCCTGAGATTTTGCTTTAATGCTGCTAGGAAGCCTGCTGGGATGAGCATGAGAGATGCCACAGCTCATTTACATATTACCTCAGAAGCCAGATTGGTGAGTCATTTTTCAAAGCCATGAGAGAATAAGACACAGGAGATACAGATTTTGGTGAGAAAGAGGTAGAAGCCCAAAGTTTGTGATAGCCTGAGCACACCAGTCCCCAGGGGAAAGGGCAAAGAACAGAGAGAAAGAAAGACAATTTGTCTACTTGCTTGGGTTGGTGATGAGGAGCACCTCTGCAATTTCGCCAACAGCTATTTCTTCCAACATGCCTTCCAGTGATTTTGCACATTGGGACTAAGTCTCAGATATGGTGAGCATATACTGACTTACTGAATAAAGTAAGTTCACTGATGTTGAATAATGATCAAAACATATAAGTAGGCTCTGCCTTGGTAACTGACTTCAATCTAACGGTTAACTCAGGAGGAAGTTATCCGATTTGGGCACTGTCTGTCCATTTGAAACGGAGCTTCCTAAACCTGGCAAAATGATACGCTATACTCATGCAATTGAATAGTTGACTACTATGTTTTCTTCTTTATTTTACACGCTAATCATTGTTTATCGTTAATATTTTAGCTTTTGCTTGTTCACTCTCTAACGTTTATTGCCATTATCGTCAATAATGGTAAGGAAATCATGCTTTTCTTCCCAAATCATTTCTAAATAGACCATTTTGAAGAACTCAGGCCAAGTGTTTCTTTGGTTATCACTGCTGTATTTACAAAAGAAAAATTGTAAACAAGCTCCCTCAGTAAATAACCCAGCATTCACTAAAATCTTTCAGAGATGTTCTCTTTTTATATGAAAATATGTCACTATTGTTCGTAAGTTTTCTCAGGCTATAGTTTCCAAGGCTAATAGTGGGGGTTTAAATTGACCTTTTTAATATATTGACACCCAAAATTAGAAGATGATGTCCATCAACTCTGCTAACCATAGAGCAAAAAACAGACATGTCAATATAGTCAAAATCTCCTACTTTGTTAACAGTGATGGCCATGAATCAGTAGAAGGATGCCAGCCTGCTCCACACAGTTGGCTTTCCCAGTGAAATCATTTGCAGAAAACAGTAAGGACTGTGGCTGCATTGCAGAGGGAATCCCACTGCAGTTCAGGGCACATATGCTTCCATGGATACTTAAAGATGAGCAAAAGCCAGAGTATATGGTTTGAAAATCAGAGTGTACTTGGATAAGCAACACCTTTAAAATATGTAAGTTCCACTGCTCCATTTCCCAAATGTCTCCATTTCCACACACCTGATTTTCCTAGATTGCGTTCCTTCTCCACAGGGCAGGGACTTCAGCTCATTGTGGATTTTGCATGGAGACCAGTGTTCTACAACCCAGGAATACTGATTGCACTCACTGTAACATGGGACTGCCTCATGCACCTGTCAAGAACAGGAAAGGAAAAAAAAATTATGTGGAACTATCCAAGTTATGGGAAAATAGCCTATCTTTTAATAATGCCTGCTGAACATAAACTGAGAACGACGCTCTGGCCCAAACAGCCAAATTACATTCCCAAAAAGTAAGATACATTTGCCTTTTCTGAAATTACTGACTTGCCTAAAGAAACTTACAGGGGAAATCAACTAAAATATGATGATATGCCTTCACAGAAGGGAACGAAGGACAGTCATGTCTTACCACCAATAACAGGAATTTCATTATCATTTCATTTCCTCAAAGAGCTCACACAGCATCTATTAGATGGTCCAGCTCTCAGTTATATCGTATTCTCGGATGTACTTTAAGATATCAATTGATACAAATATATGTAAGGAAAATTTACTCTTGAATATAAGAAGTTCTTAGAATGCATGAGAAAAGTGGTACTATTTGCACCGGAAATTTCTTTTTATGCCCCTAAATGATCAATGCTAACAGGCAATCATTTAGCCTACTGGGCATTGTGGCTTCATATGAATTTAGCTATCCGTAGGATGTTTTCAGAGCATAGCAAGACAAACAACTGCTAAACTGTTAGAGGCTGTGCATGATTACTGACTATGAATACTTACAAATTTATGGTATAAACAATGAATACAGTAAATGCATTCTTAGGTTACTTCCTGTGCATTTGTTTGTGATGATTTTTTCCTGAAATTGTATCCCAATGAGTAGTCAAATGAGTTTGTCTGCCTCTTTGAGGCTGAATTTAAAATGCATGACTCTTCAACAAGGAGCGGAGCGGAGCGCTCTCCCTTGTAAGAAAAAACTGCTCCGTTGTGTGTATGTTACTCTAGATCACAAGGATGGCTCTAGTATAGCATGCTGATGAAGAGTTGTTCATCCTATTGCCAAAATAGTTAATTAATGGTTTTCATTTAAATAAGAATTTAAGCTCTTTCCTCCCCCTGCCTTTCTAATTCCATGAAATTGTAAATGATGACTAGGCAGTGCTATCCAAACAGAACCAATACTTGCAAGTTCCCACTAAATGCAAGGGAAAGCACTATGTAACAGGATAACCAAAAAACAAGATTGGAGCACTGTCAGCATGTTAGATGGAAATCAGATGAGAAAAGGTTATTTGTGAGACTACATCTTAAGAATTGCAAATAATGTCAGAAACTACTTTTAACTGTGGGGTTCTATTTGGCGCTCTCATGTAGGGTGCACAAGGATAAGGGAAATCACCAAGTGAAAAATATGTGAGGGCAAAATGAAAGGAGATGGGAAAATAGAAGTGGAAATGGGTGTGAGGAAAGTAAGGAATTAAGTAATAAAATCATCACATTTCATGCTGTGAATGCTGACAAGATAGAATGAAAGGGTCAGAAGCAGTACCTACATTAGAATCAGGGAGGTGATAACTTGTAAAGGAGAAAAGTCTTTCCAAAAAACATACAGGGGAGTAGAGGTTAGAGAAAAATCTATAAAAATGGAAAGACATGACCCCAACCGAACAGACACCAGGAAAATGAGCTGATGACAGCTAAGAGTTTAGCCAACCCAATGGCATCATGGAAATGAAGCTTTCATTGAATTTATGGGTTTGTTCCATAAACTCTTTAATATGTATTAGACAATTTAAAGAAAGCTTTTTGCCTTTCATATGAAATACAAGAAACTCTGCCAAAGCACTTTGCACTAACAGGAGGTGGATAAAAAATTAATTAAAAAGTAATTTTTCCCACACCTCACGCATGAATCTGAGAGTAAATGGATGGGATATCCTTTCTGAGATGCACAGATTTTTTTTAAAGCTGTCAATACCAAGCAGAGCTTACATATCCACCCTCCCTCCCATATAAAGCCCCAAGGTCAGATGGAAAATGAAAATCTGTTCAGTTGCATGTACTGCTGAGACACACATTTGAATGGCTGGCCATATATCGGTTTACTGTTTTTACTCTTTATGGCTGCAGAGATCTACACCTGTAGCAGAGTAGCTAACCTCAGTGATAAGCTATTAGAAGACAGGGAGCAGGTCTATGTAGGAAGACATTGACCCACCTTCTTGACTAATGGTGTAAAAAAACAGCACCTCTTAAAGAAGATTCTCCAGACACATGGATTTACTTGATTTTTTTCCCCTGTATGTGTCTGCCATTTTAATATTGCTTATACTGTCACTTCTAGCTGACAAACCCCTGCTCTTCCTCCAAAGCCCAAGTAAATCCCACCACTTCCACAAGGTTTTTCTCATGACTCCAGTTGGCACGTCTTTGTTACTCAGTGACAGTCTCAGTTTTAAGCAGACTTGTAGTCAGCTTATAACATCAGGGTGCACACGTACAGAGCTTGGACAGCGGTGGTGGTTAGCGCCACGCTGTGGGTTGCTGGGGGAGCAAACACATTCGATAAAGTCATCATCTTGACTCCTCCACATGTCTCCTGTTCTCTCATACTACTTGAGCTCTTTTTCCCACCTTAGTCTTAATGACCATGACTACAGTCATGTATCGCATGACAACATTTCCGTCAATGACAGACTACATACGCGACGATGATCTCACAAGATTAGCACCATATAGACTAGGTGTGTAGTAGACTACACCACTGAGGTTTGTGTAAGTACACTCTATGATATTCGCACGAGAAAATCACCTAACAACGTATTTCTCAGAACATATCCCTGTCATTAAGTGACACGTGATTGTATTTTGTACCTTAAATAATACTGAGACAATACGCTCACAGAAACACAATCTGCACTTTCCACACCTAAATATGCTTCCGGACGTAACCAAAGCCAGACCTGGACTATCAGAATTGTTCACGTGACTACTTGAAAAAAATTGTGAGTCTTAGGCAGACAGGGACTAAGTTTCCATGATGTTTGTGTTTCACAAGACATGGGGGATGGGGGGGTCTGATGCTCAATAAGTATTTGTTGAATTGAAACTAATTTTTGAAGAGGCTCAGGTTGCTAAATGGCCCTCACTTAATTTTCTAGAGAAAACAGGTCTACTAAATGGAACATGTCAGGGGTATTTTACAAAGCCCAAAGGACAAAAAAGAAACAAAAATGAAAACTTTTTCTTTCCATTATGGGGCTTTGGTGAAGAATAGCAGTCACATTGGGGGCCAGCCCTGTGGCTTAGCGGTTAAGTTCAGCATGCTCCGCTTTGGTGTCCAGGTTCACAGGTTCGGATCCCAGGTGTGGACCTACACCACTCGTCAGCCATGCTGTGGTGGTGACCCACATACAACATAGAGGAAGACTGGCACAGTTGTTAACTCAGGGCTAATCTTCCTGAAGCAAAAAAAGAGGAAGATTGGCAACAGATGTTAGCTCAGGGCCAATCTTCCTCACCAAAAAAAAACAAACAAACAAAGAAAAAAGACTAGCGATCACTATGTCATCAAAATGTGCTGCTTGATGATTTTGTTGTGGGAAAGAAAGCTGTCCTTAAGAACTGTGAGAATTGTCTCTTTAGAGTCCTTGTCCATCAGGCGAGGAATCTTACCTAGAGGATCAAAAACACCCACAAGAGGCAAAAAGGCAGCAGGCATTCAAGAACAAAAATTAACTACCCAGATGTCCAATTTCTTCTCCTGTCAGTCTTTTATGTTCTGGCTATTTCATATTGCTGTTTACTTGGTGCTTATTATAGTTTTATAATGGAAATGTGTTAAAGCATGGACTTTATCAGGGAATCATATGGAAATGTTCTGAAGGAAAGAAATGAGCCATGGGAAAGTTAAATGAAAATCATTTCTAAATGGCACAAATTAGGAAGAAAATAACAGAGTTTAATAGGGCCATAGATGCTAAAAAATGCCACTGAAAAATCTAAATCCTCTGAGAGAAGTAACATTTCATTCTCCTAGTAATGAGTCCTATTTATTACTTCTTCATTGGGGAATTGTGTTTTTATAATTTTGCTAGTTCCAGAGTCATATCATAAACTCACTCATTGAGTCAGTCTTGTAATATTTATTAAATAAGCCTCTGCTTATTGCAATTGATCAGTTTAATTAAGTATTGTTTTCCGATATCACTCTCCAACTACAGACTGACTTCCCTGGCATAAATTTGGAAGCCGGGTCTCATTGGGGCTCAGCGGATGTCATTATTGCATATCAGTCTTAGGGTTCAAAAGCTCAAATAAAGCAAACAATCCAACAAGAACCACAATAAAACAAAAACAAAAGGAAAATTTATGGCCTCCAATTTTCTGTAGCAATAACTCTTTACTCCAGTGAAGCTGCCAGTCATGATTCAGGTAAAATCTTCAGGCTTGGGACCTCCACACTGGGCACTTACTTAGTAGAACTTGGAAATCAGTTCAAAGGCCCATCTGGGACCAAAGATTCTTGTAAGTCAGAGGCAGGGTCTGTCCTATTGGAATGTGAGAGGAACTGGTCTCCAGAAGTGGTGAGATCAATAAAGCATAATGGGTTCCCTTCTCCTCCAAATGTTGTGAGCCCTCAACATAAGATATACAAATTTGCCTCTGATCAGGTCTAGGATCCTTATCCCTTAATTCAAAGAACTTCCCTCCTACCCCTTCTCCACTTGTCCATGCTTCCTCTCTTTCCTCCTCCAGGGCTCACACTTTTCTTTCAGAAGTATCCTCTGGGCTACACCCTCCCTCAACTTACCAAATTCTGCCCCTTTTCTTATTCAATCAGCAACGAAGTTATGCTCTCCTCCATTATGAATTCTCTGACTGACTGGAAAGGATCACATTTACACAAATCATCCTTTGCTTCTATTTTTGTTAATCATGTATTTATATCTGTTTGTACACAATGTAACATACACGATGCTCTAGTTCAGTCCTCACACAACTGCACCCACATGCTTTACAATGTGCCCGTTGACAGTCCCTGGTCATCAATGATACCACAATAATGTTGTATAGAACTTTACAGCTTATATAAGATATTTTATGTTTCAGGTCTCAATCATCACAAGCATTTGAGTTAGGTGAGG